TGCATACAGGAACAGAAAATAGCAACAAAAACTCACGGGGGCAAAATAAAAACAAAGATTGGCAACTATGACATCGAAACATAAATAAAACACTTAAGGGATTGAATTATTAGCCATATTTAACCTTAGGATGCAAAAAATAATCATTTGGATCAGATAAAAAATTAGGTGGTTAAGATTGTTGTGCTAGACGCTTGACATGTGCAATGTTTCTGGACGAGTATCGAGACTTTTCGAAAGTGAACATACAAACCATTTAGTTGCTATGAGAATAGATAAGTTTGACATAACGTAGACCAGAAAACTAAAAATAATATCAAGCTGGGCTGAAAAGAGAAGAGTCGACGTCAGATCAGCGGATCAAAATCGAAGCAGGAAGACTACCCCAAATAATTTTTTAAAGGAAAGAGACATTCACTGGAACAACTACACTATTTTTGTTCTAAGTTAATGGTTAAGCAAAATATAAATCGGTAATAGTTAGCAATGCCTTATCATGATTTAGTTTCGACAAAATGTAAAATTTGTCAAATGCATGTTGCCTAAGCTAATGGGAACATAATAGGTATAACATGTTTAATGAATGGCCATCAAGAAAAACTAATAATAAAAATATGAGCCGATAATCATGGAAATGTTGAAATAGACAAATCCTGTCAAAAAATCTAATCAGGAATCCAGGAAAAAGTGAATAAATGTAGTGTGTTAAGCGCAATTTAAGGTGCAAATATGGATAAATGTTAGATAATTCTGTAAATAATAAATTGTACATAAAGTTCATTTGCGAATTTTGATTCAGATCTAAATGAGATATCGGAAGGAAGAGTAATGAACTCTTTACACTGGCATACATAATAAGGCTTATATTTTAATAAAATATATGGAGAACAAAATGGTGTTATCTTAATTTTGGTTTCAGTCTACATCTAGAGAAGTGGTTTAATCTAATTTTCTTGTATATATTGAGTTATAGTTTGGTGATAAGAATGGTAAGACTGGCTAACGATGCCGACAAAGGTGCTAACAAACTTCTAAGAATTTTTAAGTCCAAGGTCTGATGCTGGAGGAATTCGAACTAGGTGTGTGCCTCGATGCCCTCCAGGGAAAGTTAAGTAAATGGGATCAAACTACTGTAATATTTTGAGCAATTATAAATGAATGTTAATACATATCTTTAAAAGTTAACCTTACCTAAGAATATTGGTGCTCTACACTTAGCCGGTAATGAGCAGATCATTTCTTCGACGTTTCAAGTGAAACAAACATTAATTCTGATTTTGTGTCAGTGATCAGTGTATTGATAATGGGTTTGCAAAGATGTACTATGCAGATGAAGAAATAGTCGTTCCTCTTTTAAATGCAAAGCAAAACGTAACAGTTTACTTTAAGTCGTAAAATCTTAAAATATAGACAATTTATCGAAGATATGAAGACCAAGATGGTGCGGCCTTTTGCGGTCGAAGTTTCCTTTCGTTGTATAAAGTTGTGCCAATACGCAAACGTTGTGGTTCAACATTAAAGTTAATTAAAGCAAGCAGTACCAAAACATTTGTGGGTTGGCATACAATAGACTATGGTATAGGAAGTCATAAGCCTGGTAATAGGGATAAAAACAGGATAGACGCGGCAGAGACCGGAGCTAGTAGGCTGACAGTAGGCCGG